GTCTTCCTGGCCATGGCCGTATTTATACAATTTACAACATCAGGATTTGGGGTGTGTGTAACTAGAGAGCCAATCACAGAGGAGGATGCCAGGCACACCCGGCACTTTGGTCCTAGCGTTGCTACGTTTGCATCCCCACTGGAGAGTAGGTCTACCAGCATCTCTGGCTGTATGCTTATTGGCTGGTAGGCGCGCGGGAGCTCAGTCGTCACTTGTAGGGGATGGAGTCCACTACAACTTCATTGTCAATACAGATGATTATATAACACATTCGACAAGATCCAAAATTAAGATATTATTAAACACATCCTGTTAGTTCGGGATGAACAACATGACACTTTAACTAGAATTCAGTGGTAGTACACCTGGTTGGTGGACTCACCTCTGATAACAATGGTACCACTAGTAACACCAACATTCATGGGTTTAATACTCAACCTGGGATAACTATATTCCTGCTAGTTATCCCCAATCTTAGATACCAATACTGCTCAATACCTATAACCAAGGTCAATGGAACGGACAAGACTGAGTCCACTGGTTGCCATGTAATGACCACGGTCATACACGTCAGTTAACGTAAAATCAGACGATTCTTATAATGTTCCATAGCCCACAAAGCATGTAGTTATGCTTTCTTATTGGAGTTCCCCATCTGAGGAGTCCGTTTTCTCATCGCTTCAGGCCGCCTGAGTCCTCCGTTTTCTCTCAATCCTCAATGTACCCGAACTTCATTATTCCTTAGTAATGACAGAATTTGAAATTGCAACTATGGTTGCAATTGGTGAGGCAACCTAGATATGTCTGTTTACAGTTGGAGCATTCAAGATCTATTGTGAGTGGTGTTGAAAGCTTCAACTGTCCTTTTTGTTAGTAAAACTTGACAAGTAAGTGAGTGTCGAGTTTGTCAGTTAGAGTGACCTATTTTATGTCGTCCGTGGGGACAGCCTGAATTTCCTATTGCTACTGAAGTCAGATTATTTTGTTGCCCAAACATCAGAGAATCTGGTGGTTGTAGTTTAGAGTTTGTCAGTTATCTACAGAACAGTTTCTGTCAAACTCAAAGACTTAACGGCTGGAATGTGGTCTGCGCTCGGGCAAGTAGAGTTGCTAGTGCATATATAACTCCATTTCACCTCTTTCCTGACAAACTCAATCTCTGATTAGATCATAAAGATAGACATAGAAAATTAGCCTGACCTGTGACACTGACGGTCACAGCTAGGTGTCCAGCGACCACTTTGAATAGAAGGTCTATTGCTAGTGAGATTAGTCTTTCTGGGACCGATATGCCCCCAGGCATATATATAGGTAAAGAATTGAAGAATAATAACAGAAAATAATATCTGAATGATAAAATATAAAGTAAAGGAAATGTGCCCATTGCAAATAGTGGCAGCTAAGGTGGAATATAAAATGAAAGAACTCCACCCAGTACAGCCACGACAAAAACAGCCGAAGCTCGTTCGCTAGTCGTGCCCTAGGGTAGACTCGGTGCAGTATCTTCACAGTGTTCCCTTATGAGGGCCTGAGCTGCCACCATTTATGAGGGCCTGTGTGTCAGTAACAATTCCTTTTACTCTCATACTTATTACCATTGGTAGCGTGACGAAAGGAGGCTCGTGGGTAGCTGTAATGATAGTATCAAGCAATAGGGAAGAAAGAACGGTAAATACTGTAGGTAAATAATAGACACAATATACAAATACAAAATTTATTTAAACATTAATATGAAATTAGGAGAAAGAATTTATCTGTACCAACAGACGAAATCTAGTACTAGGCCCTCAGGCTCAACATACTCACACCACTACTGGGTGGACATACTCAATAATACTCCCAACCCTACTGGGTGGACATAATCAATAACACATAACTCTTATAGTCACTTAGCACCATAAAGACCGGGGCAACTGCCACTACAACACTCAGTCGTCAGGAGTGATACTCAAGCAACAGCCATGGGGCCCAGCCACCATGGAGTACTTTCCGACGAACTCTGAAGATCCCAGTGGATTAATCCCACCACACAAATAGCCCTCCCACCACACAAATAGCCCTACTGAGTTAGACACTCATCCACCAATGATGGGGGTTGGTAGTGGTGTGTGGCTTGGTGATCCGGGGTCACCTCGCAGGCCTAGCGTTAGGGCCAGACGAGCCAGCTATGGGGGCCATAGGTAGTCTGAAGTGTCTGATGGCCGGGTCTCACGAAGGTAACTGATCCTACTGGACCTCGGACATCTCCCCAGACATAGTGGATACAACATCCACCCTACAGACACGGTCTAGGCTGCGTTAGGGACCAGTATGGATGAAGGGACGGGCACTTACTAACAGTGACAACGGCATCACATTTCAGGGGACGTTAAAGACGTAAATATGACTTCACTCAGAGCATATCAACTACGTTACTGTAACACTTGCACAATCAACTATTAATTGGGTCAAATCACTTAAAGAAGGGCGAATTATAACACAGAGTGGAATGGCATACCTGTATGGATGAAGGGACGGGCACTTACTAACAGTAGAAATGCCCGCGGCACCTTCACTCAAAATAGGCCAGGAAGTCAACCTACTTCTATTTCGATGAATTAATTTACTGTACACTCTGACGTTGAAACTGAGACTATGAACTCAGTTTCATTCCCTACTATTATCCTCACTAACAATGCTCTGACTCAGCTATCAAAAGCAAAATTTAATTGATTACAAAGGGTTGGATGGCAACAGGTCCCAACATACAGCGTCTGCTACGAAATCCGCGGATTATATTCAAAGTTCCCTTAAGACAAGGACGGGGAAACAGAGAAAACGGGGGACGTTTCCACTGGGGGCCTCGGAAGGTTTTGTGGACGTTTGAGCGTAATATGAATCCTTAAGGTTTTCAGGTTAGCCGTCATCACGATCATGACACCCTCGATAGTGGTGCCAACACAGACAGTGCCTGGAAATGCGTTGAGGAAAGAGTCAAGAACGTGTAAATGTCTAACTCAAATACTCATAACTATACATCTGGGAGCAATACAGATGACACATACTTTACCCGAATTACTTGGCACATGATTATTTCACTATGTTAAAACATGAAAACTGATATTCACAAAATCGTCTAAGTTAAACTGACTTAATATGGTGGCGGGAAACACTCGTTCACATACCTGGAGATACATTGAGGAAAAGAGTCACGAGCATGTGATTCTTACTTTTACTTTTTTGTACTTTTAACCTCTTCGCCACTGATCGGCTTGTTAGCCGCTTGGGCGATCGGTCACGTCTCTGATTACTTTTCCTTTTCATTTATCTTCTTCACCAAAAGATCGGCTCGCCAGCCACCCCGGCGATCGGTCACGTCTCTGTCACGCACTGTTGGCAAATACTAGGCATGCACCGGCTCCTGAATGTACCTGAACCAGCTCCAGTGTTGGTCAAGTCTTGTCTTGAAAGAGCTCACACTCGGTGCCGTCACAACACTCTCTGGTAGATTGTTCCAAGAGTTTACAACCCTCACTCCAAAAAAGTTTGCCCTCACGGTTTTCTGGACTTGCGGCTTCTTCAATCTTGAGCTGTGACCCCTTGTGGGGCGAGCGTCCGCCAGCTCCATGTATGGACACTCAACTGAGTAGTGCCCCCTGAGATGCTTATACACCTCAACTAGGTCCCCCCTTGCCCGTCTGTAGTATAAGCTAGGCAAGTTCAGGCGCTCCAATCTCTCAGGGTATCTGAGGTGAAGAAGTGCAGGCACCAGTCTGGTGGCCCTCCTTTGAACATTTTCAACCAACTGACAGTCCCTAGCATATCTCGGGGACCAGATGGGTGACAGTACTCCAAATGGGGAAACACTTCACTCCTGAAGATCGTTACGACGGACGGACCGTCTAGATATCTGAACGACCTTCTTATAAGACCCAATAATTTATTTGCCTGATTTACGGGGGACGTTTCCACTGGGGGACTCGAAAGGTTTTGTGGACGTTTGAGCGTAATATGAATCCTTAAGGTTTT